GTTAGATTTTCTGTAATGACATTTATTAGGAGGTGACCTCCCCAAAAAATGCAGAAATGACCATTTCGTGTTAAAATAATTATTTTATGTTAAATTTAGGATGCACTAGTCCCGTTGTTTCAGTTTATATACATATACTGTATCAAGGCTGCACAAACTTTTCCCCAAAATGAAAATCTATCTGAGGGCTGCGGCCAAATGCAATAATATAATTCATGAAACACTTCTTAAGTACAGTGCTTTTATTTTAATGATTATGTCCTGCTGGAGTGTGGCGTGATTTGTTTCTGTACAAACTAATACTGTATCAGAATTTTATATATTTATACTTCTCATCCAAAAAGTCACTCTATCTAGGAGGCACAGTTTATATGGATAGTATTTATTTTTTTACAACAAGCTGCGAGAAAAACAAGCAAAAATGATATAAAAGTAACGACTTTCTACTTCTTGTCTTTTTAARAAATGTAAGGAGTAGAAAATACAGATAAATGTGTGAAAATGTAAGAAGTAGAGAGGTAAGTAGAGGCAAAGTAGGGTGAAAAATAATTACTCAAGTCAAGTACAGATACCCAAAAACTCTACTTAAGTACAGTAACAAAGTATTTGTACTTAGTTACTTTACAACTCTGTCAGAATCTCAAAAGTCTGTGCGTTCACTGTTTCGACAGGTTTGAGCTGATTTCTTCTGTTCTGCATGAAACAATCAAGAAAAGCTTCTCACTGTTGAATCACATGCTTGTAGAGACCCCTGTCGGTCATCTGTGGAATTACACGTGGCTCTCTAACGTGACGTAGGTTCCTGTGACGCACAGAAATTTTAAACTCTCGTCCTTCTTAGTGATGGCGGYTTCGTTTCGATCTCTCCCTTCCAGCAATAACAACAAATGGTACTTCACCCGACCACAAATCGACAACAGTCCATCTCGGAGAGCAGGACTGGACCCAGATAAGGAACTGTCCTACAGACAACAAGCGGCAAACCTGCTCCAGGACATGGGCCAGCGGCTCAATGTGTATCTTTTTTACCGCGGTGTGTCGCACCAAGCTAACATTAGCTCGTCGGCTAGTTACGATTAGCTGCCCCTAAAACCGGTTCGAGTAGCATGGCTGGTACTTGTTGTCGTGTTGTTTTTCGACGATTTCTTTTTTCTTTGTGTGTTTCTGGTCAGTTTAACGTAGTGGTTGGTGGTCTTAGCCCAAAGATACCTTGATAAAGTTACCTAGCAGCGGCGGAACATCAAGCTAACCGGGATCAAGGCCTGTGGTTTGTGGGCCTTCAACTCGTTAGCATTAGCTCAGTCTGCTCAGTGTGAAGTTACTGGAAGTAAACATTTAGAGCTGAAGYTCTTAACTCATTGAAATGTTGTTTCAGAGCTTCCCAGAGAACACATGTTCAGAATATATTTAATTTAGAGCCAGGACCAGGGTGTGGGGTTTAAATAYAAAGCTTCTTGGCTCCTCCTCTGTGTTTTGATCCAGTTGGTTTACTGCTTTTGTTCTGCTTTTATTGATGTAATTAGGAGCAAATGGTCCAGATTTTATTGCTGTCTGCTGTTTTTCATGTTGTCACATTTTGACTGTATAAGTTTATATTTAATTTGTTGTTGGTTGGTTATGTCTTTGTAGTGTTTCTTTAACTTTGTGTCAGATCCCAACTTACTATTAATACGGCGATCGTGTACATGCATCGGTTTTACATGGTCCAGTCTTTCACCAGGTTTCACAGAAATGTAAGTATTCACAGTTTTCTGCGTCCCAGCTGTATGCAGTTATATTCATGGGATTAAGTTTKTTTTCTCCTCTCCCCAGGTTATTTCTCCTGCCGCTCTTTTCCTCGCTGCAAAAGTTGAGGAGCARCCCCGAAAGCTGGAGCACGTCATCAAGGTGGCCCACGCCTGTCTCAACCCTCAGGACCCATCTCCGGATGTGCGCAGTGATGTAAGTGTTTCTAAAGCTGTAAATTTCTTAGCATGTCTTTAAAGTTAGATTCAGCGGTGTGTCTTCTCGATGTCAAACATTTGTGACGTKTTAAGAATTATTTTTGTAATTTTAACACTGATATTGTACATGTAAGAATTTTGCTTTTTTCTTACAAGGTGGACCAAATTGAGTCTCATCACATTTTTTTCACGTTGCATGTAATCTGGGAGCTTGCTTTGAGTGTTTTGTTTAAAAATGCAGCTCTTTAAGATGTTGAGGTGGCTTGACGTATTGGGTTGAAAGAGCAAAAGACAAAAACATGTCGGTTTGAGTTGTGCAGGTGTTGTGATGTCTAGCAGTTGTAAAACAAGAGTGTTTCCTCTTTGTGGTTTTAGTTATTTAGTCACTAATCTGTGAGGCTTCTTCAGTGAACAGGACCCAACATCATGTGTTGGTGTGTGTGGCTCCAAACTTCCTATAATTGTATAAAAAGCCTTTCAGATTGATTTGATTTTGATTTGATTTATTTATTTAGCAGGAAAAGATTACTAAAAATCAAGCCTGACTCAGCATAATTGCTGTTTTACAGCAGGTTCCTGTTCTGCAGCACGTCAAACACTCAGCATCAGAAATACAGCATCACAATCACATCATTATTATTACACCATTGACACAAAGAC